TATATATATATATATATATGGGATCGTCTCCCCGCTCTGCTAGGGTTTCGCCTCACGGCAAACCCTAGCGTCTGCTTTCGCTTTGCTCGTCTCTGCCTCTCGCGTCGTCTGCCGATTTGGATTCAGCGATCTGCGTCGTCTGTTAGGTCGTGTCTCCTTCGTCGTCCTGTCGCCGCTTCTGCGCTCTGCTCCGTGATCGTAGGGGTGACGTCTGCTTCTGGGCTGTTTCGCAGGGGTTTCGTCTTCTGCGTCGCTGCGACTTTTCTTAACATCACGCCTCCATCTATTGGGGATGGCTTCGAACATATCGTATGTTGCTGCTCTTGCGGGTGTGTTACTGCTCTTGCGGGTGTCAACGCCGCCTCAAATACACCTAAATCGTACTCTTTTCCTCCTTCGTTTGAATGGGAGGAAGATATCAAGAAACCTGGAAGGAAGAATTGAAAACATGCCATCTTTTTTACAGAAGCTGAAGGTATTCAACTTGCCTTCTCTTGTCGACTTCTCTTGTCGACTGAATTTAGTTAGGAAATTTCTGTTTGGTCATCCAAAAATGGAGCTAATTCTTAAGGAATTTGAGCTTATGCACCTGGTTGGGGAGTGAAAAATTGGACTGTTAGATGGAAGACATATTCTCATACAAATTAATAATGAAGAGGATTACACACGTTTATTTGCTAGAAGGATAATCTGGATTGATAACAGAGCAATGAAGATTCTCAAATGGTCTGTAGAATTTGACCCTCAGACGGAACCTCCGATCATTACGGTTTGGATTCGTCTTCCTGGTCTGAAATTTCATTATTTTACTCAAAAAATTTTGTACACTATTGCCTCAGCTTATGGTAAGCTATTCAAAATGGACATTCCTACTTTTAATTTTTCCCGTCCATCAGAAACCAGAGTACTTGTTGAAAGAGGCATCACTTTATCTGCTTCTGAGGAAATTTGGTTGGACACACAACATAATGAGTATTGACAAAAGGTAGTGATTAAGCATTTTCCTTCGTATTGTTTAAACTGTCGTATGTTCGGCCACTCCAGTTCTCAATGCCACCATCTAAATCCATACCTCAGACCAAAAAAACACAGTGTTTCGCCAGAGACAGTGATTTCATCTCCTCCTGATCAACTCCAAGTTATTGACGATATTGATCATCAAAAGAATGCCCCCGAAGACGTCACTATTCTCGCAGGCAATTTTACAACCATTCAACCGCCTCTGGAACCTACTATCATGGGTGAGAAGGAGATTCTTCAAACCCCACTTGCCCTAGAACCTATCACCCTTATTACAGGTTGCAATACTTCTACTGTTTCACTATCGCCTCATCAGGTCGAGCAAGCTGTAACTATCACTCAGGATCATGGGGATCATGTGCAACAGCCTACACCTGTCCAACCAACTTTGGAACAATCTATTGATCAAATGAGTCAATCATCGGATGAGGAATGACAGGTCTACACATCGAGGAGGAAGAAAAAGAATCCAGACCTACTTGAGCTCGGGAATCTGATAGATGATACTTTGGTTACTTCGGGCAATGACACTCACCTTACTAATTTATTAACAGACTCAATTCCAAGAACTAGAGGAAGAGGGAGGAAAGTGGGACGTCCCTAGCACTTTTGCGCCCTTTGGTGGCTTTTTTGTTTTTTATCTTTATGTATCTTTGTTTTATTTGGGTTTTGTGTGTTTTGTTTTATGTGAGGTGAGATTTTAAGCTTTCTCATACAACCTTTCTGTATCTTTTCCGTTTTTAATAAATTAGCCCTTTTGTAAATTCTAGTGGATTTGCAGATTTATATTTTAATGTAAAGATTCTTTTGTATATCAGTTATTTCTTTTCTTTTGGAATTCTCCCAATTCCCATTTTATTTTAGTCTGGCTTTCATTTATTCCCTCACAACATGATTCTTATTTATATTAATTAAAGCCTTATAGATTTGTTTATGGTTACAAATAATATGCATGATATTAAGAAAAAAATGGCGATTATGAGAAAGGTTTATGCATGATAAAAAAATATATATAAGGTATATTTAGTGGAAGTTCTTGTATTGTTATTTTTAGATTATATAGTATTTTTAAATGAATTCAGTAATTAGATTTGCATAGATTATGATGCGTTTATATTGAGTAAATTTATAATTGTTGAGTAGAAGGTGATTTTGCATATAGGCTTAATTTGCGTCTGAGTGAATAGTTTTAAAATAAAATTCATTTTTGGGATGAAGGATAAGAATGGGCAATCTAGGAAGAAAAAGCTCATTTGTGAATGCTTTTGTCAGATAAATATCAATAAAGTGATGATATTTTTATTTAAAATGACATTAAAAGACACATTTTTATCATGAGGGGAATGATATCATTTATATTCATTTTGTGACCCTGTGGGAGAATAGCATTGAAGACGCATTAAATCTCGTGGATTTTTTTTTTTTTTTTTTTTTTTTTTGGGGTTTACTCTCCACGTTAACAGTGATAACATTTCTAATCATTTTAGGAACAACATTGTTCAGGATATTAAAATGAGAAGATAATTTATTTAATGCTCATACAGGAATCTTGAGCCTAACGAGCTTTGTAAGTAACTAATTTATAATGTAGGTGGATGCTAAAATTGCTCTCTCCAAGTTTATTTTGAGAGACTTTTTTTTTTTTTTTTTTTTTTTTTTTTTTTACAAGTTTATTTTGAGTTTTTTTTTTTTTTTTTTTTTTTTTTTTTGACAATTGTAAGCCCTTATGATAGCAAATAGGTGGTATGTTTTATTCAACCGCTATTAATTTGGGGTCGTACACACATCAGAGTATGTTTTATTTATTTATTTTTAAGTTTGAGGTGACAAAATAGTTAAAATAATCTTTAATATTTTTTTGGATCTGACTTTTTTAATTTCAACATCAAATTGATGTTTGATCATATTAAAAAATGTGGAAATAATGATATTTAGATAACTTTTAGCTTCAAGTAAAAAAAATCAATTAGTCATAGGTATAATTATTAACAATTGGTGTAAAACATCGAGCTCTAGTGATGTTTAGTGTAGAGAATGGTCCTTTGATGCTACTATGAATTAGAGAAAAATGAATAAGGGTTTTTGTCACTCATTGAAAAATTGACACATTTGTGTTTTGTTAGTTCATAAATATGACAATGAAATTTTTTTATAATAATTTCTTCAAATAATAAAGAAAATATAATTTTTAGAACAATTAAAGCCATTTCTATATTGGATTTAAAGCTTTTTTGAGAAGAGATAATACTACTGGCTATAGGGTTTTCTTGATCATTGTTCTTAAGATGGTAAAGATTTTTCTTTTCTTTAGTAAGCTCAATTTTTTTCGCCTGCCCTAATTTTGAAATATACAATATGAATGATACAGCACAATGCTAAACATTAACCTGTTAGTTAGCTTTTGAATGGATATATGATTGGTGAATAATTTATGTGTATGGAAGAAATTCTTTAGTGTAAAGGGTTTATTTAGAAAAATCTCTTTGTAAGTAGCCACGAGGAAGGTTTTGTAGATTGTGGTTATTTTCTTGTGGTAAGTGTATATGAAATAAATATATGAAAGTAGTTTATCACATGATATATAGTTCCCGAATCAATGGTAAATGAATTAAAAATGGCACCTCTAAGATTTTAAATATATGTGAAGAGGAGATAATTTCTGAGAATACTAGAGTACTAGAATCTGTAATAGATATTCTTTTCAGGTGCTCCGAATAAGCTATTTTTTCTTTTGTTTTCAATGCTTTGTAAATGACCCAATTTTATTATTTGCTTTAAGAACCTACAAACTAATCACCTTCACTTTATGTAGTTCTTTCTGATTCAACCTATATATTAAATGGATAATTTGTAAATCTTTTGTTGGGTTTTGATTGCATTCCTTAGTTCCAAAAGAATCAGAGATTGGGGGTATGCGTGTATTGTTGCTTTTGTTCAGGGAAAGGAAAATTATGGTTCTTCTTGCAGGAAAAAAAGAAGAAATGTGACAATGCAGCAAGAAATGTTGCAACAATGTGAAATATTTGTGGCAATGCGATAATGAAGGCAACCATTATAAAAAATAAGAGAAAAAGAAGAGAGGGCGTGAATGAAGGCCTGTTAATGCAGTGATGTTGGCTATTATAATGTAACTGAAAAAAAAAAAAGAGAGAAGATGAAGAAGAAAATAATGCTTTGATATTATGCAAGATGTGGAGAGAATTGTTTGAGTGTATTTTATTTCATAATGTGCATAATTTATACAGTTCTAGGAAACATAAATGGGAAAAACAAGAATTAGGCAGTAGAGGTTTTATAGATCAATGACGTCGTTGTGAAATTTGAAGGATAGTAAGCAGTAGTTTTGTTGTGGACCCTAATTTGCTGAAATTATGTAGCCGTCTTGTAAAAATATACCCCATGAAATGCTGAATCCTGCAAACTTATCTTGTTGGACCAAAGATTCTAACTGGAAAAATTCTGATATCTTTTGAATTGTTATTCTCCTCAATACCCTTCCCATCAAGTAGCCATACATATATTGCAAGCAGTTTTAGAAGGATTACTACTATCCTTTCGCCTATTGCTTGGAAATGATTACTAGTTACAGCAGTAGAAAGTTATCCTAATTGAATGGGCAACTTTTAATGTCAAAAATATTATAATATAATTATATTTAAACTATATTTAACATAATCCAGTCTGGTAAAGGTCCAACTAATAATTTCTGTCCTTTATTTGTTGAATTTTTTACATTCTCTTCACGTATGAATTTTGTGCTAGAAATTAAAACCGACCTATCACATGCCATATTTGCTAGATAAATGGAGGTGTTCACAAACTCGTCCCAATCACCAAAAAATGAATAGGCTTTTCCAGAGGCATAAAGCCACTTTTCTAATCTAATTAACGTGATTACGCCTTTTTAGAGTCAGTTACCATCCATTCCGGAGGATCCCTTGTCTGCCAAGAATTGTGCTTACAATTGGGTTCAGAATTTTTATTTTAATCAAATAAAACTATGACTTTTATTAAGCTAGGCAATATATTGAGCTTATTATATTTTGGCTTGAAGATGACTGCATAAGAGCATGAATATGGACACGACTTTACAAAATTGATAGTTGAAACCCATTAATAAAATCTCCCTGGACTGAATATTTGCAAGTTTGTGCGCTGAAATCATTGTATTATGTCAGTATTATTGATAATTATCAAAATATACATTTCTGGAGCTTGGCTACTTGTTTGACTTAGTTGTTGTTCTATTCCGTCTGCTCAATTATGCACTTGTGGCTGTTATATCATAATAGAGGTTAAGGATGATGCATTTATTTTTTTATTATATGCTTTGATAAGTATTCTTTAACTTGAAAGTGTTTCATTGCCAATTTCTCTATGCTATAGTTACATGCGGGGTAGACTTACTTTGGATAAGGTCAATATTGCTGTCAATGAGATGGCTGCACATGCAGATGCTAATTGCCAACTTATCGCACGGGATAGCAAGAAGGTTGGGCTTTGGATCAATTTATTGTTTAAATTTTGTTCTGTCTTAGCAATGCATAAGTTTATTCATGCTTATGCAGCTATCAGATGCTGAATGGGATAGGGCTTTGGTATGTAACTTATTTTGATTGCCGTAAACCTTATATATTTTATGTTTGTTATATTAATTCAGCCTAAGTATAATATTCGTGACATTTATATGTTTTATTTGATGATCTGCTTGAAAAATGCAGGAATTAAGAGATATTGCATTGTCACCGAAAGTGAAAGGCAAACACTTTCTCCTTGAAGCAGATATTAAAGGGCCAGGATTGAAACTCGACAACACCGGGAAAGCCACCTTAACTGTTAGTGCTGAATTCTTTGATCCTTCGAAATGGATTATTAGAATGCTAACAAAAACAGAATTGAATGAGTATCTCACTAGCCATCTTCCTAGCTACTATAAGAATACTTAAAAGCACATTTTAAAAGAAATAAAAATAGTTTATGTTGCATGCCTGTATCAAGTTGCTATTAAATGAGCTTATTGTTACCTTGAGCTCCAGATATTAAATATATACTTGCGAAGTAATTTTTAATCCACAGGATTACAGCTAATTCAAACATGCATATTGTTTATAGCAGTTCATCAATCTTTTGCTGGCATTTTTAACTCTGTTGTGTTTGAGTAGGTACTTCGCCATCTTGGCCGTATTCAAGAATTTCGCACTGGCTTGCACCGAGTAATGATACTTCTAGAACCTCAGTGATGGCATTGCGTACCTCAAGTGCGGCTCAGGAGCCATAAGGTAGATAGGAGATTTTTTACACCTTTGTTAGAACCCAATCGTTTGATTTACTGTGCTTTGTTGTTTGTGGTTCATGTTGCTTTTCACCTGACTTTGCTGTTTCATTACTAATTATTTTAGGCATCACTGGTTCTTGTGCTGTTGGTTTACTTCTAAAAGTTACAAATAGACTTCATTGATGACATTAAAGCTAAAAACAGCTGAATTTTCTGTTGTCATGTAATATGTCTTAAACAATGCAAATGTGAAATGTTCAGAGTTTAATGCAATAGATACAACCTGCAGGTGTGATTAATTTAACTCACTTGGGGAGCTGAATGGGCTGTCACTTTACCAAAATCATGTCAAGTTTTTAACCGATATCTCTCCGCTGTTGGCGCAACTGATTTTGATCTGAACTAGTTTATACGTAAGTTTTCATGATAGTATCAAAAACATGATGCTACTTAGGGATAATTAAAGAGGCCTGGAACTTTTTGGACTTGAACATATATGAATAGGAAATACAATTTCCGAACTCAATGAATGACTTGCGATTAGTTTTTAGTTGCCAAATTGCATGCTTTGGATTTTGGGTTTTAGGGTTTAAGGCGTGCTGTTTTTTATAGACTCGCGAGTGTTCGCTGACCTAAACCACCATGAAAGACCGTAGCACCAGGTGACATCTGACAGTGTATGGGAGAATTAAAATCCAGCCATTGAGTTTCGCTCCTAAGAAGTGGTAATCTTGATCTGCGGAGAAAATTTGGTTTTCTCCGAAGTCTGCTTATTTTATTTTTTGAAAATCTGCCTAATTAGATTGATTTTCGTAATTTTACGTGCCACATTCCCTTAATAATGAATTCCCGAGCAGGTTGAAAAAGGCATTTTTTATGCGAATTGCTAGATCAACAAAAGTGTTACGAAATTATACAAAGTTATCTAATTTTTATAGTAAAATTGTGACAACAACTAACACTAGAAACATAAAATTCCTGAGAATAATAAGAACATGTAGTAAATGAGTCTTTTTTTAGCTATACAAAGAAAGTTAAATATACTCTCGGTTGAAACTCAATGCACGAATTGCTGATTAATAAACTCTTTCAGAATTTTCCAAAAACACTGCTTGTCAAAAAATATAAAGGAGGTGAAAGAAAAGAGGGATTTTTTTTTTCTTTCAAATGATCTTTATCTTCATAGGAGCATTAGCCAAATATTTCTTCCAAGTTTAATGCCTGCACATGTAGCAAAAAAATTTCAAACAATCACATTAGTAATGTTACTAATCTTGCATTTGCAAATTTTATTTTGAAGATACTGTCGGCCATGGATTTGGTTCTCGTCGAGATTTTTGAAAATAATTGATTTAATTTAATATATGTAATTTTGATTTTGAAGTGACTAATGAAGAAGGTTGAGTCATTTTAGATTTTGCTTTAGCGTATGATTTTTACTAGCACTTTATTCAAGAAAAGTAATGAACATCTTATTACTTATAAGAATGGATCTTATAAAACACAAATTAATTGTTTTCTTATGAGAATAAAAGATCGTTGAGATTGTAGGGTCATTTCTAGTGAGGATTTAAGTACCCAACGTCGATTATTAGTTCTAGATTTTAAGATGAAGGGTTGTAAAATAAAGAATACTATGACTCATCATCGTAGAATTAGATGGAGGAACCTAAAAGTCAAATAAAATTATTTTTTTGACTAAAATTCAAGATTTCAAAAATTGAGATGTTCATGAAGAAGTAAATGTTATGTGGGATAAAGTGACAAGCATTATTAAACAAGTTGCAAAAGATGTTCTTGAAGAATCAAAAGAAGAAGTTTTCATAAATAAAAATAGTTGATGGTGGAATAATAATGTACAAGAAAAGATAAAATATACGAAGTTATCCATAAATAAAAATAGTTGATGGTGGAATAATTTTGTACAAGAAAAGATAAAATATACGAAGTTATGTTATAAAAATTAGTTTAAATGTAAAAGCTTAGAGAACTAGGAAAAATATAAAATGACCAGTAGGGAGTCTAAAACAACAATCTTTGAAGTTAAAAATTTTGCTTTTAGTGATTTGTATAATAGATTAGATATCAAGGAGGGTAAAAAATATATGTGTAAACTAGTCAAACTAAGAGAAAAGAAAAATAAAGATTTAACTCGAGTAAAGTGTATTAAAGATGAAAATAAAAAAGTGTTTTGCTTAGAAAAAGATATTCAACATAAGTGGGTGAGTTATTTTGATAAACTTTTTAATGAAGCTTATGAAATTATGATCGACCTTAGTGATCTTAATATTGTGAATAACTAATGCGACGGTAAAAATGAAGTTGAGGAGGCTTTAAGGAAAATCAAGGGTGGAAAGTTTGTAGGACCTAATGATATCCCAATTGAAATGTGGAAATATTTAGGAGATTTGGAAGTTTTTTGGCTAAACTCTTTAATATTATTTTAAAAACTAAAAAGAGGTCTGAAGAGTGGAGGAAGAGTGATCCCCATTTTTAAGAATAAAGGGGATGCACAAGAGTGTGCAAATTAAAAAGGAATTAAGTTGATGTGTCATACTCTAAAATTATGGGAGAGGGTAATTGAACATAGGTTAAGACGTATTATAAAGATTTCTCATAATCTATTTGGATTTGTCGGGGAGGTCTACTATGGAAGTTATACATTTATTGAGAGGTTTGATGGAGAAGTTTAGAGATAATAAGGAATCTACATTTGATTTTTATTGATTTAGAAAAAAATTACGATAAGGTTCCAAGAGATATCCTTTGGAGATTTCTTGAGAAGAAAGGTGTTGCTATGACTTATATTCAAGTCATTAAAGATATATATACTAGAGTTGTTACTTTTGTTCGAACTGAAGGAGGATTGACCAAATATTTTCTTATTTTTGTTGGATTACCTCAGAGATCAACTTCAAGCCCATATCTTTTTGCTTTAGTTATAGATGTTCTTACTGAACATTTACAGGAGGTCGTACCTTGGTGTATGATTTTTGCTGATGATATTTTTTTGGTTGATAAGACGAGAGAAAGAGCCCTAAAAAAACTTGAAGTATGGAGGTCCTCATTGGAGTCTAAAGGTTTTCATTTGAGTAGAACTAAAATTGAATACATTGAATGTAATTTTAGTAATAGTAGCTCTAGTGACAGAAGTGTAACTTTGGGTGATCAAATTATTAAAAAGTGTGAACGATTTAGATAACTTGGGTCTGTTTTTCAAAGCGATGGTGATATAGATGGGGATGTTAATAGTTTAATTCAAGTTGGTTGGTTGAAGTGGAGGAATGCTTTGGGCCTTTTGTCTGATATAATAATTTCATTTAAACTAAAAGGAAAATTTTAAAAGATGGTGATGAGACCTGCAATGCTCTATGACACTGAATGTTGGCCTTTAAAAGAGAAGCACAATACTAAGTTAAGTGTTGTCGAGATGAGAATGATTAGCTGGATGAGTGGCTTTACAATTAGAGACAAAATGAGAAATGAATATATCAGTGATAGGGTTGGTGTAGCTCTAGTGACGGACAAAATTAGAGAAAGTCATCTTAGATGGTTTGGTCACATTAAATGTTGACCATCTGATGATCTGATTAAGAGAATGGGTGTTTTAGATTCGACTTATATTAAGAAAGACAGAGGTAGACATAGGAAGACTTGGGCTTATTGTATAAAAAAGGATCTTAATTTGTTAGAATCAAATGAAAGTATGACACTAAATAGGACGCAATGGAGAAAAAGGATTCATGTAACCGACCCCATGTAGTGGGATTAAGGCTTTGTTGTTGTTGTTGTTGAATAATCAAGCACCGCCTTACAAGCAATACACTCATCCCAAGAGATAAGCATATTACCTGACAAAGGGGGGCTCAATTATATAAACTACAAAATTCATGACATATGTTTGATCTGCAAACTTTTTATATGTGGCCAACAAGTTCCTTTACCTAACTTAAAAATTAGATAGGATTTTTTTACCTGGGTTTCAAATTTCCTATAGCAGTAAGCCCATATAGTTAATTACATCTCAAATGATCGAAGTCACTTAGAAAAATTCTCTATTAAAATCAGTGATACTTGTCTTCAAGATTTCAAAGTTAAGTTTTCGAGGTTTGAAGCGAAAAATCAAGTGGGAGGACCAAATGGGAGCAGTTATTTCAGGAGTCCAAAGAAACGAAAAGGTAGGGGACGCTATAGATCTTAAGAACCCTCAGTGACTTTCCAAATTGTCATATTGTGTGGCTGTGTTTTGGAAACGATGTTATTCAATTATTCAATCTTGCCAATTTTATTGATTAAGACTTACATTTGCATAATACTCAATTATGCAAATAGCCCGCGAAGATAAGAAGGTTTACGTCGTACCGAACGACAATCTCAGATCCTAGGGAGAGTTAAAACTAATGATGCACAATATGGTTGTGTGGGAATCTACAGAGGATTAGAGGATTTATGTTGCATTGGACGAGCTACTTCGAAGTCCTATGGATTATGTTGATTAACTATAGGGAATGGTTTAGCTGAGGTAGCTTCGCTCCATGTGTTGAGTCTTTTAGTATTATTTTGCGCTTGCTTGCATCCTCGTTGTGCTACCCACAATGCTTGCTCCAGACTTTTTGACGTAGCGACTTTAGGTTTAGGGTTTATATGTGAGCATGCAATATTGTTTAGTCGGTGTTTTGCCGCAGTGTGCCTCTTAAACCAGGCTAGTGTTCGCTACCCTAAAGGTCTTGCGAGTATATCAAAGCAGTGACATTGCAGGCATAAGCAAAGTATATGCAGTAAAACACGGTAAAGGAGAGAGTGCAGTAAGAGAGAGTATGGTGGTGCGTACCTAGGATTTCTATCGTTACCGCAAAAAACTGCAAAAAGGGTTAGTATTACTGGTAAAAAGGGGAAAATATTGCAAAGGATTTAATGAGCATGACAAACATGAGCATACATAAGTAAAAAGAGTAGGTGACACATGAAAGCTCGAAGAGGACCATAAGAATTCAGGTTCAGGGTGGGTTCAGAGATGGGTTGTGTTCTTTACAATCCAACTTTGGGTGGAGGCCACCAGTCAGACAGTCTAAGGAGGGAAATTTCTTGTCGCAATCAAAGAGATTAACGATTGGATTCTTGTAATATCCTATCCAAGTTTCTTTAATTTTTTCATGCATATA